TCCTACCGTTATGCCGTCATTAGATGCAATCGAAAGCCTTGACATGGATATCAAAGGTAGAAGAAATCGCTTTCCAATGATACCGCATATGGCCATATTCATCAGTTGGGTGTACTTTATATGTGATGCAGACTGTAAGGTGTACCCCTACCCAAAATAAATTTTAAGAAACCTTTAAATCAAATTTCCTGAATTTTGCTATATTGACCTGTGTCTATAAGGATTAGATCTTCCCCCGTTAGTCAATTTGTCACCCCTAGGCCCTATACATCCTATAGTGAACCTAGAAATTATAAAAAGTACAAAGTGTTATGATCAATTCATGATAATACGGTTTTTTAAAGTGATTTAACTGGGTTGGACAAAAAGTTAGTTTGGGGAAAAAATAATATAGGCTAATTAAGGAGGCCATTATTGAAGTATTGATTTTGTCAATACCTTGAAAAATAAAAATGGTAGCAGCATAATTATTTTGTCTACGTTTTCAGGGTTAATGAATAAGATAAAGTTAAAATATACAATAGCAGCTAATTAGATACTGTGCATATATGCAAATTAGCAAGTTTTATGATTGAAATATCGCATTTATTAAAAATATTCTGAATGTCAAGATTACAAATCATATATGCAAATTAAGGCGGTCATTATTGAAGCATTTACATTATTTTAAAAGTAATAAAGATAGGTCCACAATTATTGTGTCCTTACCCATGTTTTCAGGGTCAATGAATAAGACAATGTAACAAGATACAAGAATAACGCATTATATATTAATGTGAATATGCAAATTAGCATATTCTATAATCGAAAGATCAAATTTATGCAAAGTATTTCATTTATCAGGTTTACAGTGCAATTGAAAGTACTCACTAATTGAGGATTTCCCTTAGTGATTTAAGTTGGTTGCCAAAAATAACTTTAGGAAGAAAATTACAACTGTGAACTCTGGGGGCCATTATTTAAATATTGAATATCTTCCATATCTTAAAAAGTATGAATGATAGTATCAAAATTGTTGTACACAACCAAAGTTTTCAGGGTCAATAAATAATATAGTGTAATAAAAAGATACTATTATTACTTATTCGATATTGTAACAGGATCTTAAGAGGTTCTGGACAAATCATTTGATTCTGGACTTGTCATTTTTTTTTTCAACGAAATCACATCCAAGGGTTGAATTTTTATTAGCTATTTAGAGAGTGGGTCCTGCCTGGTATTAATTTCAATAAAAAAGTTAAAATAGAACCCTATTTGAGAGTCAATCTAATACTTACATTACATTGATAAATTAAGGCAAATCCTGAAATATTTTTAAAGTGCATTTTTTTATGAAATATTATCCAGCAAGTATTTAAATGAAACGGTCTTATTTAAATACAAATCATAACATGATATTTTTCATGAAACATTTTTCAATGAAATTCAATTGAAGGGTCAAGATAAAACGAGCTAATTTAGGTGAAACCCCTTACATGATGATGTGTTTTCATAACTTCTTTCATAAAATTCCATCAAGGGGTGAAGATAAAATGATCGAATTTAAGTGATTTAAGGATCACGAGAATATGTTTTCTTTGATATTTTCTATGAAATCCCATCCAATGGTCAAGGTAAAATTTTGATTTTGATTTTGATTTGGTCACGTGTTCGAAAGATCCATATAAGGCCCATAGAACCATATAGGAACGTCATTTTGAATGTCACGTGATAGATCCATATAAGGCTTTTAGAACCATTTATGGAAAGATGAGGGGAAACCCCTGACACCTGTTTCACGATTTTTATGCACTTCATTATTGTACCGAAGTTTGCCGATTCGATTCGTCGTATTTCGGAATCCTGGTGACAATTTTATACTCCATTGGAGTATTTTTGACCTACTTCCTATGACGGAAATTCCCGAACCTTGTTCGGATTAATCCGGATTTTCTGACCTACCTTATCTACCGAGATTTCACGAGTTAACATTCGTCTCATTCCGGAATCCTGGTGACAATTTTATACTCCATTGGAGTATTTTTGATCTACTTTTTCTGGATTTTGCCCTACTTATTATATCTTGACAACAACACGGGTAGTATCTAAAGCCCCGCTATGATTTAAAAATCGCGAGCAAGTTCCCGCTGAAATCGCGAGGAATAAAAAGAAGTCATGGGTTCTTTTTTGTGTTCTTGAATTGTATGATTTACAAAACGTTTTCATTTAATTTTTCCCAATGATTACATGGTATTGAGACTAAAAAAGCAACTGCTGGAAAAAATGTATCACGAGCGGTCGTTCTGTGGTTCGTTATTTGTCAATTGAAGAGAGAAAGTATATTTTTGAATCTTTATCTATATATTTCTATACCTTATTGGTGAAGAACGATGTTGTCCTGTGGTTGAAATAACGATAGTGATATGAAATAAAGATGTACCGAGTTTCACTTCCTAAAGCTTTACAGAACATTTTATATTTAAATTTGATCATATCCCTCAAGGCCCCGCTTCTAGCAGGAGCAATTAAGCAAAGATCCCGCTGAAATCAGGAGGAGGCCCCGCTGAAAACATGAGGAGGTCCCGCTGAAAACAGGAGCAAGTGTCTCTCAAAAATGGAGTGAATCCCGATTTTACCCTGGAAATCTCCCACTTTCGTACCCACCTTGATCAACTATTGTACCCAGTTTGATGAATACATTATTTGTCAATACAATTCTCAATAACAGCAAACACAACTGTTTAATATAGTTCATATTATGATACATTGTTATGGAAAACTGCAGTATCATATTTCCATGCCATTTTACAGAATAAGAAAGATCATCTGAGAAATGTGATGAGTATTAGATCGGACGAAATGTTAAACATTTAACCTCATTTTCATAATTTGAAGTAAATAGAGGTTATTTAATGGGAGGGATGGAATATGGATTTTATTCCGAGGGAAAATATGATATTGGCCAAGGAAAATATCATATTGACCGAGGGCGATAGCCCGAGTGTCAATATGATATTTTCTGAGGCCAATATCATATTTTCTCAAGGAATAAATCCATATTCCATCACGACCATCAATAACCTATTTATTTCATAATATTTATTTTTTCAATTTTTGTATGTCATCATCCAATGATTGTGACATAAAATTATACAATTTATCATATAACATTTTCAACTTTTATTATCAAGTTTTACTTAAAAATATAAATAATTTATAACAATAAAACTCAAGAGAAATTACCGGGAATATTTCTGATACGGGATCTGATACGGGATTTTTGCTGATACGGGATCCAATACGGGATCTGATACGGGATTTTGGCTGATACGGGATCTGATACGGGATTTTTCAAATAACACTTTTATTCCCTGTTATTTTCCCAGGGAAAACATGTTATTATGGAATAATGTAAGATATTCTGTATTCTCTGTATTGCAACTTTCCCCTCTGTTCCATCTTTGAGAACAAGTCGATATTCAGTAAGATACACGTATAAGCGTGCGTTTAGGTCAACCTAAAATGATTTAGTCAGAATAATGTTTATGAATATTATTCCTATATCAATCTCCTGTTGCTTACTTGCTTGCTCGCTTCCTCCCTTCCTTGCTTCTTCGCTTCCTTCCTTCCTTGCTTCCTGGCTTCCTTCCTCGCTTCCTCACACCCTTCCTTCCTCGCTTCCTTCCATCCTTGCTTCCTTCCTTCCTCGCTTCCTTCCTTCTTTGCTTCCTTGCTTCATTCCTTCCTTGCTTCCTCACTTCATTCCTTCGCTTCCTCCCTTCCTTGCTTCCTTCCTTCCTCACTTCCCTCCTTTATTTCTTGCTTCCTTCCTTGCTTCCCTCCTCGCTTCCTTCCTCGCTTCCTCCCTTCCTCGCTTCCTCGCATTCTTGCATCCTTCCTTCCTCGCTTCCTTCCTTCCATCCTTGCTTCCTTCCTTCCTTTCTTGCATCCTCCCCTCCTTGCTTCCTCACTTCCTTCCTTCTTCGCTTCCTTGCATCCTTCCTTCCTCGCTTCGTTCCTTCCTTGCTTCCTTCCTTCATTGCCTCCTCGCTTACTTCCTTCCTCGCATCCTTCCTTCCTTGCTTCCTCCTTTCCTTGCTTCCTCCCTTCCTTGCTTCTTTCCCTCCTTGCTTCCTCGCTTCCTTCCTGACTTCCTTCCTTCCTTCCTTGCTTCCTCTTATCTTTCCTTCCTCGCTTCCTTCCTTCCTTGCTTCTTTCCTTGTTCGCTTCCTACCTTCCTTTCTTCCTCACCTCTTCTTTTCTTGCTTCCTTCCTTCTTTGCTTCCTTCCTTCCTCGCATCTTTCCTTCCTCGCTTGCTTCCCATCTTGCTTCCTCGCTTCCTTCCTCCCTCGCTTCATTCCTTCCTTGCTTCCTCGCCTCTCTCTTTCATCACTTCCTTCCTTCCCTCCTTGCTTCATTCATTCCTTCCTTCCTCGCCCCTTCTTTTCTTGCATCTTTCCTTCCTCGCTTCCTTCCTACCTTGCTTCCTCGCTTCCTTCCTTCCTTCCTCGCTTCCCTCCTTCCTCGCATCTTTCCTTCCATGCTTTTTTCCTTCCTCGCTCCCTTCTTTCCTCCTTTGTTTCCTCGCTTTCTTCATAAATTTCTTCCTCACTTCCTTTCCTCCTTCCTTCCTTGCTTTATTCCTTCCTTCCATGCTTCCTCGCTTACTTTCTTCCTGGCTTCCTCGCTTCCTTCTTTCCTTCCTTCCTTCCTCGCTTCCTTCCTTCCTCACTTCCCTCCTTCATTCCTTGCTTCCTCCCTTCCCCACTTCCTTCTTTCCTCCTTCCTTGCTTCCTCATTCCCTTCATTCTTTCCTCGCGTTGTTCTTTTGTCGCTTCATTCCTTCCTTGCTTCCTTCCCTCCTTGCTTTCTCGCCTTCTTTCCTTACTTACTTCCTTCCCTGCTTTTTTCCTTCCTTCCTTTCTTGCGTCTTTGCTTGCTTCCTTCCTTCCTTGATTCATCGTTTCCTTCCTTCTTTGCTTCTTGGCTTCCTTTCTTCCTCGTTCCCTTCCTTGCTTCCTCATTTCCTTCCTTCCTTCCTCGCATCGTTCCTTCCTTGTTCCCTCGCTTCCGTCCTTTCTTTCTTCCTCAGTTCCTTCCTTCCTTGCTTCCTCACTTTCTTCCCTCCTCGCTTTCTCGTTTCCTCGTTTCCTTGCTTCCTTCCTTCCTTCTTTGCTTCCTTGCGCCCTTCCTTCCTCGGAATCTTTCCTTCCTCACTTCCTACCTTGCTTCCTCGCTTCCTTCTTTCCTCGTTTCCCTCTTTCCTTCCTTGCTTTTTTCCTTCCTCGCTCCCTTCTTTCCCCCTTCTTTGCTTCCTCGCTTCCTTCACAAATTTCTTCCTCACTTCCTTCCTTTCTTCCTTCCTTCCTTGCTTCATTGCTTCTTTCCTTCCCTCCTTCCTTCCTTTTTTTCCTTCCTTGCTTACTTATATTACTCCCACCTTCACTTCTTCGATTTACTTCCTCCATCCCTTCTTTACTTGCTTGCTAACTCAATTACTTACTTCGTTGCTTGTTTACTTCCTCACATCCTTGCTTGCTTTCTTGATTATTTACATTCTTTCATATGGCAGTGGAAAGACAAATTTTGATGAAAACCTGCAAACGAACAAACGAACGAGGAAAGAACGCAAGGATGGACAGAAGAACAGCCGAAAAAACAATGAATGAACAAACGGACGGATAGGCGGCCAAAAGAACGCATGAAGGAAAGATAGAAGAAAACAATTTACAAAAGATCGAACCCACGCACGCAAGAACGTAGTTACAAACGAACGCACGAATGAACGCACGAACGAACGAACACACAAACGAACGCAAAAAGAACGAACAGACGAACGCACGCATGAATGGACGGTTGAACGAAAGCACGCACGGACGAACGGACGGCTAGACGGATGAACCCACGAACGAAAGGGCAGTCAGACGAAAGCAAGCACAAACGGACGGTCAGACGAACGCATGCGCACACAAACGGACGGACAATCTCACGGATGCACGCACGAACGAACGAATGGACGGTCGGACGAACGCTGCCACGAACGCATGATTGGGCGATGCACGCACGCACGAACGATCAATCTGTCGGATAAACGTACGCATGAACGAACGGACCGTCGGACGAACGAACGCACGCACGAACGAACGGTCGGTCGAATGCACGCACGAATGAACGGTCGGACAAAGAAACCAATGAAATATATTTGTCCTCAGAAGTATAATCCTTGGAATAGTTAATTATGTAGAATGTACATTTAACTCCGAAAAGTCTATTTACATATAAAAAATTGATCATGCCGCTGACAGATGGATTAGACTGCCTGAAGTTGAAGAAGAAATATTTTTGATGTTGCCATAGAATGATATGTTATGTGATTGTCATTAATACGTTATTTGCACATTCGTGTACGTTCATATAAAGAAGCTCACTATATTCATGGAATAATGATGAAGCTTTCCTCGTGATCGAAGCGGGTAGTCGTGAAATTTGCTCGTGTTTTCAGCGGGGTCTCCTCATGTTTTCAGCGGGGCCTCCTCATTTTTTCAGCGGGGCCACTGGAACACCTTTAATGATGTATTTCGACCCCCATGGCAGGTGTCATTGTCCAGTAACTTATCAATACAGACCATCTTGATCCGATATTTATTATGGAGTATGTAAATCGTATTTATTGCCTTTATTTTAACGATAAAGGTAATATATGAACAGTAAATTATGCAAACGTGCATGTTGACGCCCCTTTCCTTCATGCAAGTACAAAATAATCATTTTTCATGTCATTTTTGTCAAATATATCTGTTTTCAAAGTTTTGCTTGAGTATCAAAGAACGGTAATAAGTATTTTCATCCTTTTGGTTCATTTTCCAAAGTGATACAAATAAACAGGACTATGCTCGCGATTTCAGCGGGGACTTGCTCGCGATTTTTCAATCATAGCGGGGCTTTAGATATTACCCGTGAACAAGCAAATCAAAAAGTTCGACATGAACGGGTCTCGATCCACTAACCTAGACTATGGAAGCCAGGCACGCTAACCATTAGGCCAACGAGCTACCGATATGAAAGAACAAAAGTATTATATATTTATACCGAGCGTCAATTCAAAATGATCCTCACTTTTGTCTCCACTTAAATACGACTCGTCAGTTGTATCCAGAATAGTAGAACGCCTATGGCGCTAGTGAATAACCAAGTCCCTGGTGAGTGGTTCGTATCCCTCCGTGATATACTATTTTTGTTTTATTAAATACGACAGAAAGGAGCAAGGTGTAGGTTGAAAACAAGACGTTAGTTTGTTTCAAAACAGTTTGGAAACATTAATCTCTGATAATTTAAGGTTTTCCACTCCTGAAGGGCCTCTAGATCTATGAAATTCAATAATCCACTCAGTAAAAATACGATTTCTCTGCAACCTGATGTCCAATCAAGATCATTCAAATATATATGTGTTCCTGACACGTTTGGGCGTCCGGGAATAAAATTGCTTGTGAAAACTATTTACAAAAGTGTTCCAGAGACCCGTATCTACTTGGCTAAGGTTTTATTTGAAGATACATTGCCTTATTAGCAGGTAGAGGGGCATACAGAACACAGAAGCAAATGCTATGTTGAAAATTTTCTATATTTCAATTTGAACCTGTGTTTACATGTCACGTAGGCCAGTGTTTTATATTGGGATTATATGTACTTTCCTTGTTTACATGAACGTAAATCATTACATGAAATCTGCATTCTTCTGGGTTTAATCTGGGTTTGTATTGTCTTATTGGGGCTTTTCGACTTTAAAACAAACCCTACCTAAATGGATTGTGTCTCGGGAACGTTTTTGTAAATAGTTATTATAAACAATTCTGAAAGAATATCACATATTTTTGTCTTCCCGATTTCAGTCATGAATTACGTCAATTTCTCGTGCAAACATTGGGTAGACGTTGTCATAACCGGATGCCCGAACGTGTCAGGAACATATAGATACTCGAATGATGTTGATTGAACATCAGGGTTGAGAGAAATCCTAATTTTACTGAGTGGCTTCACGAAAAAATAAGCAGCACTTTAGGCCACCTAAATACAACTCGTCAGTTGTATCCAGTTGGAATCCCAGCGTAATGTTTTTAATTATATGGTTGTGCTTTGATTTTACGCTGAAAACATTTATAACTACGTCAACTTTATATTAAAACATTTATTATCTTTTCAGTTGTATTAAAATGTAAAATATGATATATGTCAGCTTATTGCTTTCTGGAGAACAGTCAAGGTTTAAATTTGGTACAATGAATCGGACAATCATGTAAATCGACATGGTTATAACGTACATTGAACTCAATGCAGTAAATTAGTTATTTCTATGAATCACAGCGGGATTGGTTTCATTTTATATGATTGCCAACTCTGGCGTTTTTTTGTAAATGCTTTTGACCGCTGTAAATGTGAAACTGATACAGTATTATTCAATTGTTTTATGTCTTGGTCACATTTGCTCCGAGTTTCACTACGGCGCCCGGCCGATTGAGTATTGTGTTCAGAAATGTATTCAATTTTGAACAAAATACTCGCAGCAAATGTGATCCAGGCATTACACAGCGGTATTTCGAACATACTATTGTTGCTTAACCACGACTTAGCCAATTTTAAAATCATACTCCTTATTTAAATCCAAGTAAACGATCAATGTCTAGGTATTTGGCGTTTGATGATACTATGGCCCTTGGCGAATTATGATTAGATGAACCGAGGTCAACATTAATGTTTCTTGTACAAGGTCATCCCAAGGTCTAAGATAAATATTTAGGTATTTTACGTTTCAAGACCTTTGGACAAATTCGATTCAACGATGTATTAAAGTTAAAATGTATACAGAGATAAAATAGGTTATCTCCTATCGTTTCCTTGTGTATACGTTTATGTCTCTGCGTAATAACGCAGATGCGAGCAGGTAGTTACCAATCTCACCACAAGGTGGCTCGTTCGGGTCAGATAGCATGGCGGGTATGGTAGAAAGTTCCCTTTAACTTAAAGTACATCTGTTTTCGTGGTTCAATTTTCATATCACCCTTAAAATGTATCTAATAGCAGTGCAATTAAAATATGTCCAGTGAACGAAAATGCAATACAAGAATAGATATTTCACGTTTTGTGATTTTGTAACAATGGGTTATTTTTTGTATATGTAACATGGTCATTTTCACATTTTATATTATTACTGTTCATATTAATCAATCCCTATTCATCTCAATATAACAGGTCCCTAAGTAGGTTGTTTGCAGTTTTACTCTTTTAATACCATGTTCACTTTTCACCTTGAGTTATTCAACTATGCAAACTGTGTCAGTTTTATATATCTATTGTTCCCCTATATGGTCTTTCTCACTCACATGTAGCTGAGTTTGCATTGGGTGTTGGCTTGTCAGTAGTTGCTGTAAGAGTTCATGTTGTACATTACAGAGCATTGTATTTTAAACATTGAAGTTTGAAATATACTATTTTATATATATTTTAATTTGAAGTTCGAGTTATTTTATTGCCACCCACGGGCCTTCCACACGCCCATTTACATATAACGCTTTGAAACAACTTTAAAAAGTGAGCAATGTCTCACTTGATGAGACAAGTAACTCATTCATTAGCTGAACTAATTCTCCCTTCGTTATTTCTACAAGGTGATTCAAAACGATCATCTACAAAAAATATATTTGAGAGTAGATAAATCTGTAAAACCCGTGTGCTATATCAGCCTATTTGATTCTAGAAAACACATATGACACAACTAAACATGCTTTCATCAAGGGGGTACGGATGGTATGCCATTGGCCCTTTTTATTACCGTCCTAGGAGATATTTCCCGACGAATTAGGAAATTATGAAACACCTTGTTTATTGGGTTTATAAGTATAAGTATACGTATAAGTTTTCAAAAAACTTATAACGAAAATTCTCTAATAACGCCCCTCATACCTATTTATTACAGGTCGTGTAGACCATTGTTGCCTGATTTATAGCAAAAACATTGACTTTTGCACGTTGATGATGATGATGATGATGCGCCTTTTATAATAGATCTCATATCTTAGAAGCGTATCAGTTCAAAAAATACTAGAAGACCTTACATATTTTGCCATGCACTGCGCCTATTCATTTGGCAATTCAGTTGTAAATTTTATCTTGAAAAAAATTTGTTGAGTTTTCTTGCAGAAATCGCCTACCCCCCCCCCCCCTCCATCCATTTTGTATGATCACAAGGCGTGATTTAAGCTGCTGATATTCTTCTTTAAACGAGTCGGATTTTCAAAATCTATAAGTTGGACTCCCTTTATAGAAGCTTTGAACTGATTTGCACTGCTTAATGCTGAAATTTTATTGTTTATCCATACATTTTAAGAAAAAATGTATAAAAAAAGATGTTAAGCCAAATGTTGCCCTAAAAATTCAGAAAATGTAAAAAATTTCGAATTTTCTATGTACAGGCCTTGTTGCCCCTTTAAGAAGCTTAATATGTAAATTATCTAATCAAACACTTCGTCCACCATTTTGAAACACTAATCAATCCAATCTGTGCTAGCGATTCATAGGGCGAGCCATTGGGATATTTCCAGGGTTCGTACACACCTGGAAATGTCAGGGAAATTGACTTGATTTTCCAAGTGCTGGAAATGTCAGGTAATTTTAAAATTAGGTCAAAAGGGCCAAAGATGACCGGGAATTTTGAAACGGTAGACATGTCAGGGAAATGTCAGGGAAATTTGTATCAGTGTTGAAAAAATAATGTTCCAGAGATTAATGTTTCCAAACTGTTTTGAAACAAACTAACGTCTTGTTTTCAACCTACACCTTGCTCCTTTCTGTCGCATTTAATAAAACAAAAATAGTATATCACGGAGGGAT